GATTCAAATGTTAGTTCTGTTCCTTCCAATAAGAGGGCTAATAGTGCTTCTGAGTAACAGGAGGTAAGAATTTTCATTTCCAAATTTAAATAACTAGTTATTGGTAAAGTGATTAGAACACAGGACCTTGGTCCCCAGTGCTCTGCTTCTCCACATGGTCTTTAAGGTGAGACTTCCGAAGCTGGCTAGTTCCAGTTGTTCTAGAGAGTTCTCTTGATACACATTCCTTGCATGCCAACGTCACTGTTCCAGCCAACCTGCCATCCTTTATGACCATCGGAACAAGTGGGCTACTCACTCTGGAAGGGTCTTGGATTTTCTGAAGCAGAGGTTACCTCACGGAACGTTCCAATATATACTTTTTTACTATGGAACCCTTTTATGTGAAGTACCAAGAAATTCAGGCACTTACTTTAAAAAAATCAGTTCCAAATGCATAAATTGAGTGACTTCATTGGATTTTTCTCTCAAAATGCTGACATTCATTTGCATGCCCCTCAGCTGTGATTCCATACAGATGCTCTGCACAGGAGACCACAGACAGACAGACATAATCTTAAAATAAATGTGAAAGCAGGCAACTAGGTAAACTTTACAATCATCTTATGCCTTTAGAGGTAAGGTATTTTGAGAAGTAGTGATACTTGAAAAGAAACTTATGTTTCTTATTGTACTCAAGTACATAAAAAAGTATATCTTTACTTTAAGATACTTTCAATATTGTGTATATTATTATTATTATTATTACTATTGTTATTTTTTAAAGTAAATTCAGCCCTGGTTGTTTTTTGTTTTATTTTTTTTTTTCTTTATTGATTTTTAGAGAGAAAAAAAGGGAGAAGGAGAGAGAGAGAAACATCGATGAGAGAGAACATCGACTGGCCACCTCCTGCATGCCTCTCACTGGGGATCGGCCCACAATCTGGGCCTGTGCCCTGACTGAGAATTAAACCAGCAACCCCTCGGTGCATGAATCGATGCTCAACCACTGAATTACACTGGGCAGGCTGTATATTATTTTTTTTCAATCACTTAAACAAAGTTGAAAAAATAAGAATGATTGTTATCCAAAGACTTCTAGTTATAACAATGCAAAATAAATAAATAAATAAATGTACTGAGTATCTTGCATTCTCAAAGAATGGCACATTCTCTTGAAGTTAATGAATATCATATCTTATCCAAAATATTCTATACTAAGATTAGGATCAAAAGAGAAAGTCATTTTTTTTTCAGCTCATAATAGTGATAGAATAAAAAAAGAAGTCAGATCTTAAATGTTCAATTATTCATCTTCATGTCTACTCGTCTGTATCCCACCAGGTACTGAAGTTGTCTCGTAACAGGGTTTTCAGTGATCTCTCCAGTAACCCTCTCCTTCCACCTACATAGAAGTCTAAACTACAGAATGACAGATTCAGAATATATGCTGTAAAATAGTGGTTCTCAAATGTTAGGGTTCATCAGAGTGACCTAAAGGATTTTTAACAGATTCTTAAGGTTCTCTCCTGGAGTTTCTGATTCAGCAAGTGTAAGTGGAACCTGAGTATTTCTACTAAAAACAAACAATCAAACAAAAAAAACTTCCAGGGGATGCTAACTGGGCTGGCTTCTGAAACATCAATTCAGAATTACTATAAAACTGGTCATGTCATCATCCTGCAAAAAATCCTTTTGTGGCTCCTCACGCTACTGGCAAGCTAATCTTTAAACCATGGGAGCAGTTAACTAACAATAAAGTAGTGATATGTATACTTAACATATCACAAATTTTTGCTTAAGTGTCTTGGCAGAGCTCAGTGTCCCTGCTTTCAGTCGCCCCAGGTGTGCAGACTCACCTACCGACCACAGGAGAGTAAGATCAACATCAGGGACAGGACTCACCAAGTTGAACTGCAGGTCCACAGAAAAATTTCATTTCTCCCTTTAATTCAACACCCACTTCCTTTTCACCCTATGTAATTAATTAGCTTGACAAGAGCTGTTGAGGTAGGCCTTGGGACAGGATCTCTCATCTTCTCAAGTCACTTGAATAAACCAATTTCCTTCTATGAGCACCTGTCTCAGGAGTTTGGCTTTTGTTGCGGCAGGCAGCCAAACTTTGGTTTGGTTTCAGTACTCTCTCATCTCCATAGTTTAAATTCCTTAGCACGGCTCACATTGCCCATCACCACCTGGGCATTCCCTCACTGTTGTTTACATCACACTATATCCTGCCTCAAGTGGTGTGTTGAGAAAGCTTTAAAGTCTGTCTATTTATGGTGCTCCCACAACACACAGACATGTATTATTATTTTATTGATATAAAAAATGTCTAGACACAATTTATAAAAAATAATATACAATACTCTTTATTTTAAATTCCACATAATCAATTAATTCTTATAGTTTGCTTTTGTTGAATTTTCGATGAATTATTTTTAATCACCTATGGTCTTTGTCACACATTCTTTTTTTATTTCTTAATTTTTAAAAACCCTTTACAATTCTTTCTCAACACACAGGCTGAAGGATAATAATAGGCTTTAAGCCAGACTTAGCCTACAGACTGTAGTTTGTCTACCACTGGTCTACATGATCACTAAAACAAATCAAAACGTGATGTATAATATTTGCCAAGATCCTTTGTGAAAATATCCCCACCATGTAAATTTGAAGCTATCAAAGAATGTTACTTAACATGAATTAGGAAGAGATGTGCTGTAACAGCTCATCCAGCATAGAGCATTCCTCCACAGACACAACAGAAGAAACCTTGAGTATATATGGATAGATGGAGGGGTGGAGAGCTATAGATAGATCTACTACAGTAAAATAATTAAGAATCAATAAAGTTATTACCTTTGAAAATACTCTAATTCTAAGTTTATGTGACTCAATTTAAAAATATGTTTTCATTGATTTTTAGAGAGGGAGGAAGGGAGAGAAAGAAAGAGGTAGAAACATTGATGAGAGAGAAACATCGATTGGCCCCCTCCTGCATGCTTCCTACTGGGGATCAAGCCCACAACCCTGGAATGTGCCCTGACCGAGAATTGAACTGGCAACCTCTTGGTGCATGGATCAACACTCAACCACTGAGTCACATAGACCAGGCATATAACATAATACATATATATTTTTTAATCCTCACCTGAGGATATTTTTCTATTTATTTTCAGACAGAGTTGGAGAGAGAGAGAGGCTGAAACATTGATGTGAGAGAGACACATTGATTGCATCCCAAAAGACCCTGACTGGGGCCGGGGACCAAACCACAACTGAGGTACATGTCCTTGACCGGAATTGAACCTGTGACTCTTTGGTCCATGGGCCAATGCTCTAACTACTGAGCAAAACTGGCCAGGACTATAACTGAATTTTTAATGGTTGTATTTACCAGCCAGCTCACAAAGTTTCCAAAAATCTACCAGTTGGCCTATGAGTCAGTAGCAGCTAGCTCCAACACAACTGCCTGCCTATCATTGAAAACCTCATAAACAATGAACTGTGACAGTTATGCCCTGTGCTCTGTGGTGGGGTCTCTGGTCTAGCCTGCCTTTTTTTTTTTTTTTTTTTTTTTTTTAATATTTTTTCTTTATTGATTTTAGAGAGATAGGAAGGGAGAAGGAGAGAGAGGTAGAAACATTAATGAGTGAAAACATCGACTGGCCACCTCCTGCATGCACCTCATTGGGGATGGGACCCACAACCTGGGCAGGTGCCCTGACTGGGAATCAAACCAGCGACTCCTTGGTGCATGGGTCGATGCTCAACCACTGAGCCACACTGGTAGGGCTACCTTTCTACCTTTTTGTTTTTGAATTCTATTGAGAATATATATATTGACCATATATGTGTGTGTGTGTGTGTGTGTGTGTGTGTGTGTATTCTTTTTTAACTATAGAGAGAAAGGAAGGGAAAGGAAGAAAGAGAAACATCAAGGTGAGAGAGACAGATCTATTGGTTGCTTGCCATATGCACTCCAACTTGGGATTGAACCCACAACTTGGGTATGTGCTCCTGACTGGGAATTGAATCCATGACCCTTTAGTGCTTGGGAGGATGCTCCAACTAACTAAGCCACACCAGCCAGTAATGGCTTACCTTTCTGACCTTCTTCATCAGGCCAACCCTGTACTTCACGTGAGACTGAGCAGGGTCCCCGGCTGGAAGCCTGTTGCATCTCTGGTTCCTCGGCGCCCGCCCCCCAGCAGCCCTCGCAGTGCCCAGTGCTGCTCTCCACCACGGCGTTCATGGCCAGCTCTGCCCAGTTACACCAGGTCTGCAAGCCCCCCCAACGCAGGAACTCTTCCTGGGTCATCTCTGATGGGATTGCCCAGAGCAGAGCTGGTATACCGTAAGGGCACAATATAAACTTTTTGAATGGAACTCCTGGCAAAGATGGTTAACTCTTGGCTTCTATTTTGCAGAACATTGTACTAAACCTTGTCTGTTTTGTAGCAGTGGTGCAGGTCATCGTGCCTCTTCCGTGAGAGAGAAAGGACTGTCTCTGTGCATTAGTCCGAAGTTTGCTCAGGAATGAAGGTTAACGACAAGTGCCTGCAGTGCATATTTTAGATTACTTTGAGTTTTACTTATAATTTGCATTTTATTGATGTATAATCGGCACATAACATGTCAGTGTAATTCTTATATCTTCCATTACCCCAGCTAATTGAATTTAATTTTTGAAAAAAGCATGACTGAATTAACTAAGAGACTAAATAGCGATATAGAGAGCTACAAGCAGAAAGGGAAAAAAATACAAATGAGACTGGCTGATTTAAAATTTACACAATTAGCTGGTGCCTATGGGGTACCACCGTTATTTCCAGGCATTTTCTCCACACTCACTGCTCATAATGTCTCCATGGACTCCTCCACTGTAGGCTGCCTGGGCTTCGACGGAGGAGAAGATGAGCCCAAGGTGAGATTTTTCTCTATTGCTCTTCTGTTGGCTTATTTCCATAGGAATCCTGTGCAAGGCAGCCGGGGATCTGTAGGGAGTATCAACTCACCTCGTAGTCAATGTCTAAGGCATCTGCCTCTCCCTTGGTCCGGAAGTGCTGCGTGTACTTGTCCACAGTGAAGTTCACGTGTTTGCCCACCCGCTCGATGAGGACCGAGTGCCAGTGCTGGTCATCCAGGAGGCTGCCCAGGGTGGCTGATGGGGGGCTGCTGCCCAGCCGGGCTTTGCTGTCATCTGTGAAGGGGAAGAAGACAGGATGGCATCGGTGCCTGAGGGCAGCCTTGGGCACCGGAGTGTGCCACATGCAAGGCCAGCTCCCTCTACCTAAAGGTGAAGATGACTCTCTCCAGGCCCAGAACTCCACTGATCTTGTGAAGGAATTACAAGCTTTGCCCACAAATTCCAGGAACACATTCTAGGTCAGCTGACATACACACCCACTTGTAGACACAGGATGTGAATAGTTAAATAATAAAGGGGCTGTGTCCTACTGGCCCCATGAATAATATTGAAAGCAGAGGTCATCTATTTAGAAAGCGTGCACACTCTCTGGGTTTGAATGGCTTTGGAGAGAGAAAGTGGATGGTGCATTGTGACTCAGAGGAGAGTGGCCTGGATAAGCTTGCCTGAGTTAGGGAAGTCTGCAGGCCGAGCAGAGGGGAGGGGATACACGTTAGCTGTCATTTTCAAGTGCCTACTCTATGCGCGGTGCTTAACTAGGAATTTTATAACCTTTATTTTTAATCTTCTAAGGCAACGTTGATACTTGCATTTCATAAATAAGAAAACCAAGGCTCAGCGAGGTTGAGCATGCGTGCCCCAAGGTGCATCCAGGGGTCCAGCCTAGATCCCCGGGGTCCTCTGCTCTGCCATGGCCCACCTGTGCTGATTAACCCTCAGTGAAGCTTGAAAGACACCCCTTAGACAGACTTAGGTGAAGCGATACCATTTTTTTAACAATGTTTTAATTTATTTTTCTTTACTGATTTTAGAGAGAGGAAGGAAGAGGGAGAGATAGAAACATCAATGAGAGAGAATATCGATTGGCTGCCTCCTGCATGCCCCCTACTGGGGATCAAGCCCACAACCTGGGCACGTGCCCTGACCGGGAGTTGAACTGGCAACCACTTGATGCAGGGGTCGATGCTCAACCACTGAGCTCACCTGACGGGCTTAATGATGGTTTTTAATAGAACCAGAGATATGTTTGAAAGTACATTGTCCAACACAAAAAAACCTGTCTGTGATCAGAAGTTGGAACATCACAAAATAATGAAGGTCACCCTGGGTATAGAGGAAAAGTTGTCCCAGAAGCTCAGGAGGCAGGCTGAGATCCTGTCTGTGCTCACCCCGGGAGCTCACTTTGCCAAGGTCAATGACAGCTTTGGCTGTTTGTAAACAAGTCTGCCTTGTTCCCCCCTGCTCTGTCCCTCCTTCAAATTTAGCAAAGTTCCTTCCTATATTCTATTGTCAAAAAGATCAGTTTTTTTTAAATCTACAGAATGACTCAGAATCACAAAATGAACACTTAAATGCAACTAATTATTACTTATATACACACTCTCATTATTTCGAACTTTTGATGTATTTGGTCCCCTTAGTAACTGAAAGCTAGATATGTCCTTACTCTCTCTTCAGGTGTGCTGTACAGAGCAGCTCCTACAGTGTGCTCTGCTCAGTGTGCTGTTGCTCAGTGTGCTCTGCTCAGTGTGCTATGCTCAGTGTGCTGTTGCTCAGTGTGCTGTGCTCAGTGTGCTCCTGCTCAGTGTGCTCCTGCTCAGTGTACTCTGCTCAGTGTGCTGTTGCTCAGTGTACTCTGCTCAGTGTGCTCCTGCTCAGTGTACTCTGCTCAGTGTGCTCCTGCTCAGTGTACTCTGCTCAGTGTGCTCCTGCTCAGTGTGCTCTGCTCAGTGTGCTCCTGCTCAGTGTACTCTGCTCAGTGTGCTGTTGCTCAGTGTGCTATGCTCAGTGTGCTCCTGCTCAGTGTGCTATGCTCAGTGTACTCCTGCTCAGTGTGCTCTGCTCAGTGTGCTCCTGCTCAGTGTGCTCTGCTCAGTGTGCTCTGCTCAGTGTGCTCTGCTCAGTGTGCTCTGCCCAGTGTGCTCTGCTCAGTGTGCTCTGCCCAATGTGCTCTGCTCAGTGTGCTCCTGCTCAGTGTACTCTGCTCAGTGTGCTCTGCTCAGTGTGCTCTGCTCAGTGTGCTCTTCCCAGTGTGCTCTGCTCAGTGTGCTCTGCCCAATGTGCTCTGCTCAGTGTGCTCCTGCTCAGTGTGCTCTGCTCAGTGTGCTCTGCTCAGTGTGCTCTGCTCAGTGTGCTCCTGCTTATTGTGCTCTGCTTGTGGGGCTGCATTCAGGGCAGGGCCTGGCCTTTGCCTGCAGGCTGCTCAGCTGCCTCTGCAGGGGCCCGAGGCAGCACTTCTTATGGGACACAGCAGACTTACTGTGACTGGAAAATGACAGCAGTGACTTCATAGCTGGTTTTTTCATCGTTTCTTTGTTTCACAACTTTTGAGTTCTCACAATTTGTCAAAGTATGCTAATGAATTAGTAGATATTTGTGTTATTTTCTACTTCCTTCCCTCCTTCCCTCCCTCCCTTCCTCCCTTCTACAAAGAGGTGTTGAAGTGTACTCATGCTGTCACAGCGACAAGTGATGTATAAAGGAGATAAAGGAGACAGAAGGCACACTGCCCTCTGTGATGGTCTACGGTGGAGAATTTCAACAAGCAAACCCATAAGCAGGGTGTCAGTGGCACATAGCAGTCCCTTCCGTGGGCCAAGGTGCCACAGGGGAGGGAGCTGTGCAGGCCCCTGATGGAGCAGCGATGTCCTGAGATCGTTAGGCCAAAACCAGAAAGGTGGCTACAGTCAGGAGAAGCAGGGCCACGGTTTAGAGGGATAGTTCGGGACCAGGGCGGAGGGACTCCACATGTTCCAATGTCATGACCGCACAGGCCTGGCTTGTGTCATTCAGGACTAGTGTGCCTGTGTGGGCGTTTACAGCTGGTATTGTACCTTTAATGAGTGGGAGTCATAAGTGAATTACTAATCATAGATTACTAGCTCTGATGAACACTTAGCAAAGGTTATTTTGGCTGTTCTACGAAATGTGATTAGAGGGCAAGCTGGCAGCAATGTCGACATGCATGTACATGGGGTCAGAGGGGCTTAGGGACAGAGAGCACCAGGAGGGTGGGTCGCCTTGCATGCCACTGGAGTATTAGAGATGGGGTAGAATTGCAAAGGCTCAGATGAGTTTTAGGGTTTTAGGGGAGGTGAATGAAATGGTACAGATGTCATGAAATAAGAAAGAACAAAGAACAACCCCCTCCAAACACAAACACACACACGCACACGCACACATACACACACACACGAGTTCATGCACACATACCCGTTTTATTTAAAAACAAAACTTGTCCAAGAGCTAATGATTAGTCAAGAGCAACAATAAAATGCATGATCAGCTCAATCAATGAAGAAAAACATTTCACAAAAATCCAATATTGATTCCTCATAACAACTGTAAGAAAACCAGAAATAAAAAAGAACTTGCTGTAACTAATAAAGAGCATCTACAAAAACCTACAGCTTGCCCAGCCGGTGTGGCTCAGTGGTTGAGCAGCAGCCCATGAACCAAGAGGTCGCTGGTTTGATTCCTGGTCAGGGCACATGCCCAGGTTGTGGGCCCGAACCCCAGTGGGGGGAAGGCAGGAGATGGCCCATTGATGTTCTCTCTCATCGATGTTTCCCTCTCTCTCTTCCTCACACTTCCTCTCTCTCTAAAATAAATAAAGAAAAAAATACAAAAAAAAAAAAAAAAAAAAAAAGCCCACTAAAAAACCTACAACTTGTATCACGCTGAATGGTGACAAAAGGAAGATCTCCCTGCAGGGACGAGGGGCACGTCAACGATGTTGGCGCTCACTATTTCTACCCAGCCTGGACTGCAGAGTCGAGCCTGTGCAATCAAACAAGAGAAGTAAGAGGTACCCACACAAGAAAGGAGGAAGTACAGCTGTAGGGAATCTTAGGGCATCTGCAAAGAACGCTGGAATTGATAAGTTGGGACACAGTAGGAGACAGGTTAAGGGGGCGCTGGAAGGAGAGGCAGACTGACCGGTGTGACAACGTCCTGGGCATGTGCATATGTCAACACATAACTGCACACTTTATTTATTTACTTATTTTTTAATCCTCACCTGAGGACATTTTGCCATTTTTTGTTCAGATAGAGTGGGAGGGAGAGAGAGAGAGAAACATCGATGTGAAAGGGACACATCAAGTGGTCGCCACCCACACGACCCAACCAGGGCCGGGGACAAACTAACCGAGGTACATGCCCTTATTGGGAACTGAACCCGGGTCTCTCCGGACCGCAGGCCGACGCTCTAACCGCTGAGCCAAACTAGCCAGGGCATAACTGCACACTTTAAAGGTTTGCCTTTGATTGAATGTCCATTATACCACAATAAAAAAAGAATAAAACATTTCAACAAATAGAAGAAAAGATGTAGAACAAAAGAGCTAATAAATCATTGAGGACAAGAGTGTGTCTTAAACTGTTGGTTCTAGATAGTAAGTAAAATAACGAGGCGCGTTTTCAGTTTGAATTTGATATACACCTCCCTTTTTTTCCTAGAAGGGAAAAACACATTTAACAATGATCTTTTAATAATAAGTCCAAACCACTTATAAATCACAACAAGCCAGAAAAAGGCACAGGAATCACATAATCACTTAATTTCAACCACTTGATTTTCTATGTGCTGTTTGCTGGGTTTTAGTGACATATTGAGTTCTTTAACAGAGTCGATGATAACGCTTAATATAAAACATTGAATATATTTTACACTCTGATTCCTACTTCAAAAGACAGATCTCATTATGAATAGGTCAAACTGACAATATTTTTTATTTAACTTTGCAGATATTGGGACGAAATCTCCCTCTAATTCCTGCTTCCACCTTGCATGTTCCATATCTCTGCAGGTAATCACTGTTACTAATGTCTTGTTTCTCTTCACCATCAAGAAACACTTTAAGCAAATGCACACCAGCAAAGACATATGTTCTTTATCCCCCTTATTACATTTTTACTCTAATGATGAAATACAATTCACCTTTTTCTGTATCTTTTTATTTTCATTTAATCTCTCCTGGTATTATCGTATATCAGTTTAATTGAAAAATATATATAAAGTTAAAAAATTCTTATTTTTATGGCTGTATAAT